CCTATGGCGTCGTCGTGATGTCAGTCTCAAGCTCAAGGGCAGGGTGTTTAATGCTTCCGTCCGTGCAGTACTCTTGTACGGCTGTGAGACTTGGCCTATTCGCTCGGAAGATATGAAGCGGCTGTCAGTCTTCGACAATCGCTGTCGACGAACGATTGCTCGGGTGTGGTGGCAACACCACGTAACCAACGCAGAGATGCGAGACCGCGTGCTTGGGGCGTATAGTGTGTCTTCAGGACGTTATTCTCCGACATCGCATGCGTTGGCTCGGGCACGTTCTGCGCCTGCCAGCCCATCGCCTTCCACGTCGAGTGCTATTTGCACTCCCAGGGAGCGATTGGAAAAAGTGCCGCGGTGGACAGCCGATGACGCGGAGGAGTATGAAGAAGGCAACCTCAAGTTTGGCGGCAGTCGGACCAGTCCGCCTTCCAGGTTGGGGACCACGAGATGCTGAATCGCAGTGGTTGAAACACTAGACGTCATGGTCTGCAACAGACATTAGTGCGTCAATGTTGTTCTGCAATTTCACCATAGTTTTGATGCACACAAAAACGCACAAAACAAAACAAAAATACAAAATGGCGTGTGTAAAACAAAAAAATCGTTCCCCATATTTTTTATGGCATTAGTATTCCCATCTTCTTCACCTTTTTTCTTCTGCCATGGTTGTGATGGCACAATGTCTGTTAACAGACTGTGAATAAATACTATTGAAAAGTGTAACAAAAATGGGCCCCACATGGTTGTGATCTGGTTGATTGTAGGGAAATTGAAGTCCACCAAGTGATTAGATGTACAATGTAGGGTAACGGACGATGCATAATCGCTCAAATGAATTCGGAACCGATCTACGACAAGTGCTGCTGTGTGTGCGAAGACGAAAAGCGCAATTCGTTAATGAAGGCGATTTGCAACGAAAAGATAAAAGAAATTGTATCAATTATTCTTTGATACTTCGCCTCATCAGTAATCATAGTACGGACGAAGCATCTCAAACAGTAGGTTGTCAGCGCGTGGGCCAAAAGCAGTACAATGAGACCAGCGGTCAGCTAGTAGGCATCTAGTAAGGAATCACTATGGGGCCACATCAGACAGCAAGCTAAATATAAATCGTTCACGCTGGTTAGCACACCTCACAATAAGTCCATTGATAACCTCTCACCGAATAGTTCTATTGATGTGGCGTCTAGAAGGGTACCCGGTCGATGACAGAAAAAAGATGTGATTGGTGAAGATACTTGACCAGAAGGTCGCACGGCGTCTTAGCGAATGGGGATCTAGGAATAGCTCAAATAAGTGGTCAAAGAAGCAATCTGACAATCAATAAAGTGGATGACGCTCTAGTAAATGCTCAGGGTAATGAGATCAACAACACTCTAACAATGGGTGGCGTTAGTAAAGCAGTTTTCTCGCGGATCATATCACCCTGTCACAGACAATTATACCCACTGAGTGCTTGATAATGCGCAAAGGTTAATCAAAGTTGTAATGAAATGACAACGAACACTTCAAGTGTGCTGAAATAGTAGACTGTCCAGGAATGCATTCAGTCAATTAGTGAATGAAGTGGACAATAGTCAAGGTAGGTAGGTAATCAGCGGCTTCGGTTTTGCGAATTGAAAGCAATGGTTTTCCCCTCAAATCTCAAACCGTACAATATGGAGATCATACTAATACTATGAGGAGAGCTACCCGATTAAACAAAGCACATTCAGCCACAACGGTTAACGCAGAGAAGTGAACCGATGGTTACGGCCCAGATGAGACAGAGCAATCTGACACAAATGGAATCGGGTCATACTCCGTAAGAAAAGTAGATGAGAGACCTCTAAATCACAGTTAAAGCTTTTGCAATGAAACAGCCTCAGGATGATGTGACAGTTTACGTACTTAGTCCACACACTTGGTAGCATCCCCTGGTATCTTGAGAGATTCTCTTACAAGATTGCTTAGTTGTTAGGAGTTAAGAAACGCACTCTCTCATTCCTTGAAGTCGGGACACAGTTGACATACATGTGAGCAGAAGCGGAATATCTCCTTGCCGTCGGGCTATATGGGGGGCAAACGTCAGTCTTTGGTGCTTAATCATTATTCAGTCTTGGCACGAAAGGAGTACCCCAAGACAATTATGACCACAATCCTTTCACCAAATTTCAACTATATTTGACAGCAGCCGTCGCTTGAGTTCACAAAGATCATCGTATCCGCTGCAAAACCGTTCTCAGTAGCATACAAAATTATTTATAATGGTTACCAAGAGACCACCAGCCTCCGTGGTCCCCCTTCAGATAAGCACGCCCTTTTGCCCTGACATATATGCAAGTATGATGTTTGCTCCCGGCCGGAATGCTCCGACGAGCACTCAGAAGTTTCAGAGACTGAGTGGAGACCCACTGCCCTGAATCGCAATCGGATTTGTCACATGAAGGCAAATATGTCGTCCGTAAAATACAGTAGGCATGTGATCAGTGGCTTACAACTATGCAGGCTGAGCACATATTCACTTCGAATGTCAAATGACTTTGCTAGTCATTCAGGACCCCTGACTTCGCCAGCTGGAAAGTATTTATGTGTTCACAGCGTCGACTCGGGCATCCGTCGAAACGCAACAGAGGACGCAAGTGCATGGGCGGAGTTCACGCTTGTGCACGAACGGCAGTTTTGAATTCAGCCGCTCCAACCAGAAGCGATCATGATATGCTCAATGTTTCTCCGTGGTTAATGGGTAGCAGGTAATATTGAGGCAGAAACTGTATCGAAATTGCACGCACACGGGAAGTAAACGTAACAGCCGCTCACGGTTGATTGTCAGGTTTTGGAGTATCCGTCGTGTGTTTTGGAGTGTGACACGCAGTCTCGATTGTGGTTTCGGTCGAGTTTGAAGTCAGTCTGTACCACTCCGAAGTCGTGGGTCTCGGTGTCTCTCTCTCCCTCTCTCGGAAACCCTCCACACACTGAGGATGTTGCCTAGTCTGGCAGCAAAATGTCTGCAAAATAATCGTTCAGCTCGGAAAGCAGTGCAATACAACTCATCCACATTCTCAATCATTTCAAACCCATCATTTAGGATACGGGTCTAGTGATGGGAATGGGACAGGCTGATTCCAAAGCCAACCGAAGCCACAATCGAAGTTGCATGTGGCAAGCCTAGCCACACGGCCGGTACTATAAAACGGACAGTCAAAGATCAACCGCTGTGTCAAGCTCTGCTCGCGGAGCACAATGATCTAGTGATCATGGCAATAGCCGTCAAGTACTATGTGCCGAGTTTACCTCCCACTACCTGAAGAGTCCAAAATAGGGTAAAGTGTCAGCCGTAGGCCGGTATGCAGCACCGACGCTTCTCAGTCGCGCAACTACCACCAATCGTATATGGGTTAAGGATACTGCGAGGGTCACTCGGCCGCTAGGGAGGCTCGAACCCGCGCGCTCGGATTACCAGGTTTGTGATCCTTAAGACTATGGGCCGGTTGATGAGCCCAAACCAGGAGAAAACACGCTCACCGCTAATATTACAGGTAACAACATCGTGTCGCAGAATTTTCTAACCTGAACGTTCAGATCAACAACAGTGCATAACAGTGCCCGTACTTTTTCTGCGATGAAAGATCCAGAAAATCGTCCACAGAGTCATGGGAGAGTAAGCAGAAATGACAAACAAGCACCTAGTGTTTTCGCTCAACTTTGAAAAAGTCATCCGCTCTAACGGTGCGCAGTTGTTTTTATAACCGTGTGCTGCCGACAGGATGTATGCATCGCGATCCAGAATGTCCACCAACAGTAGTATGCCTTTGCGATCTACTAGGAGTGCGGACCTGTACAAAGCAATTCAATGTCACAGACATCAAGATACTCATGTTTTAGCTATGCAGCCTGTGGCGAATTGAAACGAGGCCAAGTGCGCCTTCGTCTAGACGCGTTGACGACATGTCTTGGTAGATGCAGCTTTCGTAACAGGGAGGTAACACGCAAAACGACCTGGTGCATCCAATAAGTTGTCTTCAAAGAGATGCATGGTTCAAATGAGCTGGTTTGCCGAACAACCTCCTCGTGGTGCCAGCTGGGTAGTTCGGGATTTCCCCATTCCAGCAAATGGTTCGGCGGCAATGTTCCAGAACGTGGTGGGTTTTCGCCTGGTAAACGTTCTCCCTATAAAATGCCACATATGTCCGTTTGACAACACTGTGACGTGGCGGATGTGACTCGCCACTAAATAAAGTCACTGCCCCTTACTTCATCCTGGCAAAGCATTGTATTCCAGCCACTTAATACTGCAACTCTGGGGAGCATTGGGCCTTTGTTTGACAAACGAAAAAACGTAAGGTGTATGAACTGAGTAATCAGTCACCGACTCCCAATGGGCGCGATTCCCTGAATTCGTTCCGCTGCCTTGCGGTCAGCTTATTTGGTCAAAGACTCGCGGTGGTGTCCCCTAAGTCAACATCCTACTTCTGCTTGGGCAACTGGGTAGTATCTCGCCCTCTGACGAAACCATGGACTCCGATGGGTTGCGTTGTGTTTCCTTTTACAATTTATGTACCTTCTTTGGAGTCCCATGGTTTCTGATGACTCTATGTCTATGCGTAGACAGTCGCATATATATATATATATATATATATATATATATATAATGGTTCAAATGATTCGACAAGAAATGACATGCCACTTGTATACCGGCTGTACGGAAGCGGTGGAAAGTACAAATGGTGAGAATGACGTGTCTGTACGGTTGAAAGTAAGGTGGAGCAAGTGAGAGACGTGTACTGTCAAACTAACCGATCAGGAAGAGGGGGAGGACCACGAGCTGGTCCAGAAAACAGTGGTGGTGCAACCGAGTGCACTCACATTCAAACTGGATGACAGAAGGCAGCTGAGTGATCATCACAAGACACAGAAAAATGAACAAACAACATACATGCTTACACTGATAAGAACAAATCGCGCTGAAACACTAGTAGTAATGGGAGACTGCCTGCTGATGGAGATATGCAGCAACTCACTTTGTTAGTTGTGTAACCATCCCAGACAATGAGTTTTCCATCCTGTGAGGCGGATACCAGATTTCGGGAATCCGTACTCCAGTGCATCGCGTAAATTTTGGCCAAATGCCCCCGCAGTGTGCGACGTGTACGCATTTGAATCCGCCCGACTGGTTCCACGTTTAGCGCAGCTTGATTCAGTGTTGTGTCAGCGGCGGCTTTCCGAGCCTCCTGATTAGGCGAACAAGAGTAAAAGGCGAGACACGAAATCAAAGAGGAGTAAATATGTTCTTTGGCAAAAAAAGATAAAGAGAGTAGAATGGTGCTAACCATGACACGAATTAAGTGAATATGCGAAGATAATTTTTCAGAGCCAACACATGAAAGACAGACAGCCTCAAATCAGAAATCGGAGTAGGCAGGACCGGAAACAGCGGAACATATGGAGTTTCCAATTAAGTGAGTCTGCCCATTTGTAGTCGATAAGGGATCACAACATTTGTAATCCGGTGTAAGTGACTACGAGGCCCAGTGAAGACACTGGGTCGATAAAAGAAAAGAAGTGGAGCGAGCCGAAAGGTAGTGGCCGCCCTGCAAAGTTAGGGAAGACGTGAGAAAAAACTTCACTTGAATGTCCACGGAAGTAAAGAGGGTATAACTTCTGTGCATTTGTTGAACTAAGAGTGTTGCGATCACCACTTCGAAAAAACGCTTAATACTTTCTACGAACTTTACCCTACTCACAAACATCTACAATTAATCTATCATCGCCATTTGGACATTAGAAGGACAGATACTTCGGCCCATTGGGAAGTGACGGGTGAGTGAGCCAATCTGCAACACCAGGACAGATACTGTGAGCTCAATGGCAATACGTCGCGCACCAAGCAGAAGTCATGTATTAAAACTTGCGCACCTAATCGTCAGCCCTCGGTAGCTCAGTGGTAGAGCAGCGGACCGGAAATTCGTTGGGCCGGGGTTCGACTCCCCGTCGAGGCACATTATTGTGCGTGAATTTTAATCGTGACTTCTACTTTCTACAATCTTTACCCTACTCACAAACAACTATAATAATGGTTTTTACGAACGCGTTTCGATATTTTGCTCATAAAAATATTGTAAACATGACCTCGGATACGGTATTGTGATCATACGACGCGACTATTGGTAAAATTTCAAGGATGTGGTTAGGCCTTGAGCGATGCGCAGGAATTGACTCGTTTGGAAAGGTTTCTCCTAACCCAACTGCTTGAAATCCATGAGTGTAGGAGTTCGGCATCAAGCTTGTCGTGAATGAAGTGTGCGAAACTTGCGACTATTCGTCCATCTTCTGGAAAAACAACCGCGAATAAGTGCAGCAGAGATCGTTTACATTGGAGGAAGCAAATGATGTGGAGTGACTAATGCGCAAAGTACGCTGTCAGTGCTTGAAGCCACTTTACAGCGGATATGGATACACTTATATGTGATGGGTCCACGCATCAGCATGTTAACTCAAGTTGTCGGTAGCTTTTGATCAACGCAAACAAAAGACGAAATCTTTTTGCTGTCAGGTCATTCTATGTACCTGTAAACCACATTCTGCCTGTTGTTTTTCATTCAAACGATTTGACCAAGCAAGTAAGGGAGGAACTTGCATGAAATTCTCTTGATTGGACAGATTCCAAAGATCTGCCTTCTGAAGTCTGACGACTGGGTGCGATCCGTGCGTAAATGGAGAAACCTGCAGAATTTTACGAATCGAGTGCCGTGTTTTGGTTTTAAGCGAAGCAAGCTTTAAGGTGCTCACAAGTACTTCCGCTTGACAGTAAGACAGAATATAATAATAATGAGAATGAGAGTGCATCATTAGATACATTGCCCGGTGTTGGGCATTGAAAATGTTGGAGATGAATTCCATATTGCTAGCTAGATGAGAAACACCTAATCCACTATGCCTGAAGATCCCGCGATTCCGTGAAACGTAGAAAAATCGCGGAATTTACTAACTTGTGGAAAATTAAATCGTTCGCGGAAATGGGAAATTCATAAAAGAGCTATTGTGAATTCGTTTTGTTGCAATCGATATGCTTGTATACGGAAGAAATGCCAAAGCAGCCAACTGGCTTTTGGAACATTCCTCTGCAGTATCAGAACCGCCATCTGTCTACCATCTTCTATCCAAGTCCTCTTGTCTCCTCATTCACAGCTAAGGATCAAATTTGAAGGAGCCAGTTCGCGAAGTCTGCAAATGGGCATAGACTTCAGTCGTGTCACGGCTTTTGTGTGATATCGCTAAATATATGACAGAATGCTACCGAGATGTAATTAAGCCTGTATCTAAGGATTCAATTCACATTACATGTGTTTCTCATTGCATCAATTTGATTGTAGACAATTTTCACTTCAGAACAATGAAGCCTTCCGCATTTCGCAATCCTGACACACCACAGGAACCCGGAAAACTAATCAAATCAATACAAGACACCTGAGTCGTTCGACTTCAACAGCTCCAATCACTTGCGGTCGACTCCGAAAAAGACAACCACACAGCCATAGGAAACAAACTGGCGAAACATGACTACGAATAGCCGCCAGGACAATCGGTCAGATGCAACCCTGCTAATGTCATATCACCGGTCGGCAGTGTTCCAGGATGTGTTGGGCTTTCGCCTGGCAACGTTCGTTCTACAAAAAGCCACAGATGTCTGTTTAACAACACTGTGACGTGGTGGATGTGACTCGCCACTCAGTAAAGTCACTGCCCAAACCATGCATTGGCAAGTTGATCTATACCACATTTCACAAATTCTGTGCCTATAGCTGCTCTTCTACGACTACGCCTACATATTTGCTCAGTGATATGCCACTATTTTAAAAAATAAACACTATAGCAAAAGCTCGAGGTGCTTTGCTAACCTTCGCCAATTATGGCGCCCGCGCGACATCACTCTTGCCCTGAAGGGTAGAGTCCACAATGCAGCGGTACGTTTAACCCTACTGTACGGTTGTGAAACCTGGCCACTTAGATCAGCGGACATAAAGAGGCTAGTTATGTTCGACCACCGGTGCCTTCGCAATTTAGCTCACATCTGGTGGCAACACCGCGCAAGCAACCAGCGTGTTCGACGCCTTGCTTACGGCACAAGAAAACGAAATGAACCGCTCAGCACCGTCATTTCACGCACCAGGCTCCGATGGCTCGGCCACGTGTTACGCATGCCAGCCCACCGACTCCCACGACGTGCGTTGTTTGCTCACCGGGGGTGTGGATGGAAGAAGAGGAGAGGTGGCCAAGCGATGACTTGGTCGAGAGGAATGAAGGCCCCCATTTCGAAGCTGGCATCGGTTGGAGCGTCACGGCTCCCTGGTTGGGGTCCGAAAAACGATGGACACGTTTGGCTGGATACACTTGTTGATATGGCTAGGAGCCGACTCAGTGGCGTTCGTGCTGTGAGTTTCTTTGTCCCACCCCATCCCCCATAGCCTTCCCCTCCAATCATGATCTCATTATTTAACATTTTATAATTTTGCATAGGAAATTACTTTTTTTGCTGCATAGTAGCCGGCAGATAGCTTACCGGAACGATGCCCATCCGTTACCGGTAGCTCAGCTGGCTTGCACCTGTAGCATTTTATTCCCTTCGTTTCTATTAAGTATTGCGGCACAGTAGAAAAGGTGTTTCCCACCTCTAGCTAACGTGTATAGTGTGTGGGTGTATTTTGAAAATATTTTTGCGGCTTTTCCCTCACGCTTCCCTCACCTGACCCGCACTATGTACACAACCACATCGGACTAGTTCCTCACCAGCATACTCCACATTAATGATTTAATTCTTATCTCTACATCTCGCATTCTGCGAGGATAGACTTCATACAATCTTTGGGCCATGTGGGCCCACACTACTGATTACATCTGTACTACTCCCGCACTTGGTCCTGCTAATCATTCTATCATGTACAATATCGCACTATGCTGATTCTGTACATGCACTTGTATGTGCTGACATGCGGATGCGTTTTGGCGGACGCCCACGACGACGCTGTGAGCGCATTGACACCAGCCAACTGACAAAGCCAGCTGTTCTGAATGCGTATCGAAGTACGCTGACATGCGAGTTGAGTAAGCGCTTACTGGAGACAATTGATGGTCACTGGTCACATGTTCACCAGTCCTTACTAGCAGCAGGCAAACCTCATGTGGTATGTCTAATGGATATTGGGTCTCTTCACAGTCTCTGGAAATTATTTACGCTCCCGGATGGAAGCGAACACAATGAAACTCGCAAAGAGCTCCGGGCAAAACTCCGTGCTAGCCTGAAGAGAGACCGCGAACCCTGGTGGTCTCATCGTGCAACTGAGATGGAAGGGGCCGCTGCCCTTGGTAACCATCGTCTGATACGAGAAACGGTCAGCAGGAGACCTGGTGTTAGTGAAAATATACGTGACGAGAGTGGACAGCCTATCCACAACTTATCAAAACGCTTGGAACGTTGGGCTGAGCACTTTGAAAGGCAACTTAATCGGTCGGAATGGTTAGATTTCTCGCCGGCCAATGATCGACCCACTCCCTGGGCTGTCCCATTGGATCCACCCTCTCGCTCAGAAGTCGAACGTGAGATCGGACTGTTGAAGTTAAATAAAGCCGCGGGACCAGATGGTCTTCCTCCAGCCCTCTTCAAATTCGGGGGACCTGCTCTTATGGATGATTTACACGAGTTACTAGTGAGACTGTGGGAGCAGGAAACTGTCCCAACTGATTGGAGCGGCTCCGTCATAGTCCCAATTTTCAAGGGAGGCTCATGATCGGAATGCGGCAGCCATAGAGGAATCAGTCTGATCTCCATCGTCTCCAAATTGCTTGCCTCTGTCGTCGTTCACAGACTGACTGGCACTCGTGAAAGCCAGATTTGTGAAAAGCAAGCTGGATTTCGTCGAGGTCGTGGCTGCATTGACCACATCTTCACTTTGCGTCAGTTGTTGGAACACCGTCACATATATTGGCGGCCCACCATTGTCATGTTCCTCGATATCAAAAGTGCATTCGATTCGGTGGATAGACATGCGCTTTGGGACTGGCTACTCAGGAAAGGTGTGCCCGAGAAATATGTGAATATTATCCGAGCATTATATGCTCGTAGCTCGGGCAGAGTGATGGCTTACGGCAAGTTGTCGTCGCCCTTTAGTATCTCCAGCGGCGTGAGACAAGGATGCCCGCTGTCACCTTTCCTCTTCAAATTCGCTGTTGACGA